CCGCGCCGGAGTTTGCCGGAGTCGGAGGGGGGGCCGCCCGCCCGGCACTTCCCGAGGGTCCCGGCCCAGCCCCGCGCGGACACGCGCGCGCCCCATAGCCTCTTTGTGCCGGACCCGCTGGTGGAGCCTGGTGGCTCGTCCCGACCCAGGGCCCCTCACTCCGGCCCCGCTGCCCAAGCCCCCAGGCCGCAGCAGCCCCGTGCGGGCTGGAGCCGTGCCGGCCTGCAAGGCGAAAGCCACGGGTTTCTCCTTTGTAAAGGGGAATCCATTTTTCAAGTCTGTTGATGCTTTTTTTTTTTTTTTAAGTTTGTGCAACCCTGTCATAGATTCATAGAGGTTAGGGGCTGGAAGGGACCTTACAAGATCACTGCGTCCAGCCCACCCTCCGTGCTTGGGCAGAAAAGACTGCTGGGGTCAGAGTAATTGCTGCTCCTCAGCTGCCAAATGTCTGGCCCCATGGGGAGCCCTGCAGGTAGACAAGGTGGCCCTGCACACTAGGCACCATAGGGCCTGACCTGACACTTGTGGCCTAAGCCTGTACAAGATCTGGCCCATGAACAGGCCCCATTTCACTTATCCAGCCTTTCATATATTCTTGTGGCCCACTTTTGGGTCGCAACACACAGATTGTAGCCCGTGGGCTCTCCTTATACCTGGCCAGTCCCTTGTTATGGGGTGATCATTGCTCTGCACAGGTACCTGGTCTCCATTTATTGTGCAATTCATCAGTTAGTTGTGGGATTTTTTTCTTTGCAGGTGTAGCAGCTTGAAATTCATTGCCTGATTCACCAGCAAGCTGTGTAATAAATGTAACGTGTGGCAGAGCCCTTAGTAGGTAGTTGGCTTTTATAGCTGGAGAGTCCCTTGTTATGGTGTGATCATTACTTTGCCCATGCGGCTGGTCTCCATTTATTGTGGGATTCGCCAGTGAGTTGCGTCATTCTTGGTTTGTATGTGTGGCCATCGTTCTTTGCGCATGACACGGGTCTAAATTTGTTGCGCGAATTGCCAGTGAATTGTGTAATAAATGTAACATGTTGCAGGGACCTTGGTAGTGGGTTGGCCCTTCTTATAGCTGGAGAGTCCCTTGTTACAGTGTGATAAATATTTTGCCCATGTGGCTGGTCTGCATTTATTGCTTGATTCACAGGTCAGTTGTGTAATAAATGCAATGTATAGCAGGGGCCTTCAAATGACTTCCCCCAGAGGAGGATGTACCTGCCCCACATAGCCACCCTCAGATGCAGAGGTGACACAGGGAAGATAAAGCTGAGGAGAACAGCAGGAATTTCAAAGGAGAGAAGAGCACGAGTGCATTTCCTCGACCAGTCCCTGTTTTCTGTCACCTCTGCCCAATCATGATGCACTTATTGCGTAAGGAGTGTACAATGATGCCACTAAAAATAAAAAGCAACTTTGTGCTGGTCAGAAGCCTGCAAACATTCACCTGCTGAAGCCTAGGCACCTGCTAACTCTGCCACAGATTTAGGGTCCAAATCATGTTCCAAGAGAATCTGAAGAGATAATCCCCAGCACTGCCCCCCATCTTCTGTTTCTTTCTGCCGGACATTAGGGAGCATTTTGAAATCAAATCTAGGAGCTGAGCCAAAATGAGCAAATAATGGGAAGTACAATAGACTCTGGGATACAGCCCATTATGGAGAGTGAGGGAAGCAGACAAGAGAAGTAGGGGAGTCAGGAAGGACAGAGTTAACATTAAGAAACTCACTTACAGTGATGCAGTTTCAGGAGGTCTGCTTATGAATGACAGAGAGAGTGCCTTTATCCATGTGAGAGAGAATTAACATACTTCTTGAAGGCAAGACAGTAGAAGTAGATTTTTTGGAGCTATTTAAATGAGAGAGTGGTAGACTAGCACACAAAAATTCAAAGAGTGCCACCCCTAGCAGCATAGCTACGATCCACAGCTGAAGAGAGAATTTCTTCCAGCATAAATCATTTAAGAAGCAAAACTTCCTATCTAAATGCTTGCTAACTTTCAGGCTGCCTTCTGAATTGAGCCATATGCTTGGTCTAGCTTGCCCAATCTTTGCTTCTCTCAGTGTATAAAAAAAAAAGCTAAGCCCACATTCATAATACAGAAGGACATTTCTGCCTCTTATGCCATTTTTCCTCTTGTGTAGATGCTACTTATCCATTCTTGCCATGGCTATTTATCTGTCAAAAGTACTTCAAACATATTTTTTTCTCTTTGGAATGTAGCAGTTCACATGAAATGGCAGGTATTTTTAAAAAATGTTCAAAAGAGTCCCTGGACCTGCTGACAAGTATGAGTCTAACATTATTTTGGCATCCATGGATGAAGGCAATAGATATATGCAAATACCCTTTACCAAAAATGAAAGAACTATAGCTCATAACACTCATTGTACTCATTTTCTAGAAAGGGAAAATAAGGGCCAGAGCTCTTTAATAATTTGCCCATGGGCATGTGACAGGAGCCAAATTCTGCCCATGATATAAGAGGGGGAAAACCATTACAGCCAAGTCCAGAACAGACTTATGTCTCTGTCAAGCATTTACAGATAGATAGTTTCCTTTCTTCTTCAAAATGTGTAATTCCACCTCATAGGAACAATGCTAACTTGAATCTTGTAGCAAGGATGGATAATAAAACTAGCTAGGGATGTCCTATTAGAAGCTACATTTTATAATACGTAGACTCAGTAAAATATTTGCGTTTTGATTTCCTTAAATAGGGCAAGATACTGCAAACGATAATGAGTTTTACAATTATGCTAGGATGCTTTTACTGCATTGCAATCTTTAACCTTTTTATCCCTTTGTTTGAAAGCCATTTCTTCTATAATCTGGCAGAACCTTTAGAAATTAAGTGGTTTATTAATAACAGCACATTTTGAATAGAGGCTGTAAATAGATTGCAGAACAATAAGTCTCTGTTTAAAAAAAAAAAGGTACTTTATACTGTGTCACAGTTTCTCCAACACCTGAATATTTATCATCCACATTCACACTGATTAAATAACTGCTGATGCCTCATGGAAAACTTGGGGAAAATATTTTGTTCTCAAATAATTCTGCATATACATATATAACTGTGATAAAGTATCCCAGAAGACAGAAGTGCAAATGGCCATTGCTTCTCAGTGCACAATTATTCCCCACAGTATACTTACTGCTATTTTGTCCAATCTGTTCTTATTACCATCATCATTTGTGTGTCACCTCTGTGCTTAAGGTTTTCACAATTTACACATTCAAAACAATGGGGTTTCCACAGTCAAATTACAAAGTTTTTCTGATACTTCTCTCAAATGGATTTGGCCTATTAGCTTAATTTTCTCTTTCTTCATCATCACTATTGATTGTCTAACCACAAAGGGTTAAAAAATATGAAGGTTCAAATGTATGCTCATCAGCAGGAGGAAAACTTCCAAGAAATAACTGGGACTGTTTCACCTATCATGTTCTCTCAAAAGTAGACACTCTCATTCAAAGTCACATAAAACTTTGGGCTCCTGTTTGACTGACCCCTAAGCTTGAGGAGTAGGTGTCGGTGACTAAAAATATCTTCCTTATTTCCATCTCACCAGTAAATGCCACAACTTCCACTGGGATGGGGACCTGGCCACAGTAAGCCATGCATTTCTATCCTCCAAAAATGACCACTGTAATAATTGCAGCTGAAGCTGAATAGGGAAACAATGCAGACTTTCACTCTTTCAAATGGAGATGCCACCCTCCTCATGGGCTCAGGCCACCATGACTACATCAGATCTGTGCTATGGGCACTGCATTGGCTCTTGAAGTCAAGTGACAGACTAGGTAAAACTATTGCTATGAACTAACAGTCAATAGTAAAACCTTTTTATTTGTCAACATTTTCCATTATAACCAAAATGACATTCACAACATAAAACAAGATTCCTGCTGCTCTCAACAAAGGAAAGCTATTACTACTGCCCTCTTATTTTAAGTGGAAGGTGCTCAAATGTAAGTCAGGGGTGAAACCAGGGGGGTGCAGTGGGCCAGTAGCATCCCCCCCCCCACATAGGACAGGGGCACTCTGGGCAACAGGGAACATGTGGGGAGAGATACAAGGCAGGGATCAGATGCAGAAACAGAGGACACCCATTGCCACTGTCCTTGGTTGAGCCCAGCACTCCATACAGCCTTTCCCTGCAGCTGGAGCCCTCTGGCTGGTGGACCCCAGAGGCCCAGCTGGGAGCAGGCACTGGAAAGGGAGACCTGCCCACCACCACTGCTGTCCCTGGCTGACCTGGGAAAAGGGAGAACCCCAGGGCCATTCCTGCCCCAGCTCCAGCCATGGGCTGCAGGAAGTAGCTGCATGGGGTGACTGCACAGGGCACAGCTCAGCCAGGGACAGGTCAACATGTGTCCTCTTTCAGTACCTGCTCCCCGGCTGGCAGGGGACTTCTGTGGGAGTCAGGCTGGGGGCAGGAAGAAGGAAACCTGCCTGTCTTCATGGTTCTTGGGAGAGCCTCCCAGCAGCTGGAGCCCCCCAGGCAGGCAAGGAACAGAGTGGGGGCAGGCAAGGTACAGAGACTGGTGCTGCTTCTGCTGCTACCCATAATGGAGCCCAGCAACCATATAGCCTTTCCCTACAGCCCCCAGCTGGAATGGGCAGAAGCAGCTCTGGGAAATTCCTCTGGGCTT